CTAATAATAACGACACGAACCACGACATCGCGCGACAAACATTCGATCGTTCGGTTTGACGAATCGCCGACCATCCGAATCAAACAGAGCGACGATTCATCCGTTTTCAACCGTCACCAAATTTTCCAACCAACTTTGGTGTTTACCGTGATCGTCGTCGTCGTCGTCGTCGTCGTCGTCTTCGTCTTCGTCGTCATCGTCGTCGTCGTTGTCGTGGTCGTTCGCCGCATCTCGCCTCTCCCGATGTGAGTCGTGAATCGTAAGACAGAAAAATCGGCGAGTAGCGCACGCGGTGGTGGAAAATCGTGGTGGATCCTTGGAACGACGATCGGTCACGAGGGATTCGAAAGTTATCGCGACTCATGGTCGCGCGGCAACTCTCCACTGGCGGATCCACTTTGGCTTTTTCGTTTTCGTCGCTTTAAGTTCGCGTAAAGTAACCGGTGTGGCGTGGTCCAGTGTCACACGCACGGAGGTCGTTAGCTGTTTTCCTTTTACCCTCGCGTCGCTTTTTGCGCACATCGCGTTCCGTTCGATTGTTTGTCAGCAAACCGGGAAGTAGAAGAATCGCGGTGTGATAGCGGGTCTTGCCAGGTGTTTGCTCGCGGTGCGTGCGACGAACGTGCGTGCTCGTGGCGAACAACGCGACACGTATCGGTCGTGCTGTTACTCGTGTGTAGTGTGCACGAGCCAACTTTCGCGAACGTAATTATACGTTGCACCGATTCTTCGGAGTGGTGAGAAGAAGAAGAAGAAGAAGAAGAAGCAGCAGCAGAAGAAGAAGAAGAAGAAGAAGAAGGAGGAGTAGGAGGAGGAGGAGGAAGAGAAGGAGTAGAAGAAGAGGAAAGGGAAGAAGAAAGGGGAGAAGAAAAAAAGTAGTATCTAGTAGCGATGACGTTACCGGTGATATCTCATTCCTGACCGAAAGAAGAGTATTTCGCGAGAAAGAAGTACGCGCGTGATTACGACCCTTGGCGACTCCGGAAGGATACGCTCTCCCACGGCAGCCAGGGGGAGGGAGAGCCGTCGAGCGAAAGAGAAACGGTGATATAGAGGAAGACAGAGAAAGAGGGGGAGGAGGAGGAGGAGGAGGAGGTGGTGGTGGAGCTGTGGTAGAGAGGGAGGAAGAAAGAGAGAGAGAAACCCGTTAAGGCGGTACGAGTAACGTGTCGGTGGAAGTTCTTGCGATTGATAGAGGGACTAAGAGAGAGGGATAGAGCCAAGTCGACGAAGGTAATCGGTAGCATCAACCTGCGTGCCTCGACAAAACCGATTAAAGACGAGCGAGCAACGATCCTTTCGCCTGCTTTGTCGCTAATTCAGCGTCGTCGTTCGCCTTTTCGTTCGGTTACCGGCTGCACGACCGATCTTCAGCCAGGATCATTCGCAGTGTAACGAGTACCCTCGGCGATATCGGGCACAGGAAGCCTCGACGATCTAGTCGGTCGTTTGCATTCAGGATCCATCGCACGTCGCCTCGATGCTACCTCGTAAACCAATTCCGTGGTTCCCTATCTTCGCGAACAAGCCGTTCTGACTGGCGCGCGTCGTCGATCTTCTGGTTCGCGTTGACGAGCGACACGGATCGTCCGTCGACGAGATCGAGTCCTCGTCGATCGGCTCGTGGAGGATCGGTGTTGGCCGCGGTAGAATCGCAGCCACGGGGGTCCGCAATAATGCGAGAGTATCGGAAACGCGGTAAATGGACGATAACGGCGGGCC